GAATGTAAACGAACTCCTGATGAAAGTCAGCGTCCGCCATTCTCTAATTCTCGTGCTGCTCTCCCGACAAAAATGCTAGCATCACACACACAGCTTTGCTGTATGATCGGCCCTGACAAGATCGCGGGGGAAAACATGCAACAAACCGCATGGATAATGGAAACAAACGCATATGAGCCTTCATGAACGGCTAAATACTGTGTGCCCGTGGGTCCGTGACACAGCTCGGGCTTGACTCTTGCAGGTCTGGCAGGTCTCATGAATAATTAAGCAGCCAGCTCTTCTCATAGGATAAGAAAACTCCGCTATGAATAATAATGAGAAACCGACGCGTCATCATTGCACTTGCAGTACTGCGCTGCGTCGCCGATTTTGATCCCGCCCCAAAAATCATTTTAAAACCGGAAGCTGAAATTAGCTGACAAAAGCTCAAAATTATCCAGTTTTCCCCACAATTAAAGCTGACAGGTGCTAACATTGTCTTAACTGATGCTCAACACACACAAATCTGTTAATATATAAAAAAAAGTTATCCAGGGTGTCCTGAACCTTTAAAAAAAAATGGAAAATGGCAAGTATGAACTTCGACAACTATAGTTGCCTTTGGGCTTAAATGGTTTAAAAGAAAATAGTACTATGCAGCGTTCACACACTGACCGAATAGTTAGAACTATTACTATATAAAAAGTATTATTTTTGTTAATTTAACCCAGTTTAACCATCAATCTCACGAAGCCTGCTGCCCATTCCCAGGACGAAACAGCAGTTTTCCAACAGTAGTTCTTAAACTCAGCATTTTAACCACCTGTTGAAATTCATTAGTGCCTTAATTGTTCCAATTAAGCTTCTGCCCTCTTGCCTAGGGTGCTGACACTTCAAAGGAAGCCATTAAAAAAGACAACAAAAACCATTTCTGAGCTTGTGAGCGCGTTGGCCAATGAAACAGTGTGTGTATTAATGCATGCTGCGGTGTATGTGTATTTCAGAAGGGGAGGTCTGGCAGCTTGTGAATGTGGACGTAATGAATGTGTGTGTGTGTGTGTGTGTGTGTGTGTGTGTGTGTGTGTGTGTGTGTGTGTGTCTCATAATGGGGGATATTACAGTAATGAGGTACCAGGATGTCTGGACACTTATTGCTCCCCACCTGTGTCTCACTTCCCCCGTGATAGTGTGTGTGTGAATGTGTGGGAGTCGGTGTGTAATGTCTCTGAGGTTTGTGACCGGACAGCGTCCAACGATCGGTGAAGTGACGGGTCGAACATCAGGACCACACACTCACATACACACGCATACAAAAGAGCAATCACTGCTGATTGGTAACCCGCTAACACACCCACACACATAATCAGACACACACACACACACCCTTTGGATTAGGGACTTAAACAGACTCACCATCAACCACCCAAGAGACCCCCATCGGGGCGCACAGGCAGAGAGAGTCGGTGAGTGACTAACTTCACTCTTTCTTTTATTCTTTCCCCAGCTGTGTCTTCAAACAGGCCTTTGATGTGGGAAATTAAAAGAGCGAGTGTGTCAATATCTCCCTCCATCGCTCCTGCACACTCATCCATTTCCCTTCCTTCCATCTCTTCCTCTCTCCTCAATTTCTTCTTTACGGCTGACCCAACAAAACCAGAGAGTGACCCTGCAAACCGCATTACCTCCACACACCCTGTGCAAGAGAGAGAGAGAGAGAAAGGGGGGGGGGGAATCAACGGCTGTGTGTGAAACTGGGCTTCTTTTGAACTATTTAGAGTGAGTGAAGGTGCTGCAATCATCAAAACTAGGGGATGTATGTGCATTCAGTATCCACACCTATTTTTGTATGGTTCAAATTAATTAATTTAATACAAAAATAAACAAATTACAACTGCAATTTATGTAAACAATGACTATGATGGACATATACATGACTTCTTTGGTGCCTGCATTTCTGAATTATTTTTCAAATCAAAGACATTTTGGAGTGTACATCAGAGAAAAGGAAAAGTCAAAAAGTATGTTCTTGAATGTTCACATTTTGAGAAAATACTGAGAAATCAGTTGTTAAAGTGTCAGTTCACTCAAATATGAAAATGATATTAATTACTCACCCTCATGTCTTTCCAAACCCCTGAGATCTTCTGAACACAAATTAAGATATTTCACGTCAAATTTAAGAGCTCTCACATTCTCCATAGACAGCAATGGTGCCAAGTTGTTAAAAGTCAAGAAAGGTTCCAAGAAATCCTCGAAGCAGTCTACACTCATCGGCCATTTCATTAGGAACACCTTACTTATACCGAGTTGGACCCCCTTTTGCCTTCAGAACTGCCTTAATCCTTCGTGGCATAGATTCAACAAGGTACTGGAAATATTCCTTAGAGATTTTGGTCCATATTGACATGATAGCAACATGCAGTTGCTGCAGATTTGTCGGTTGCACATCCATGATACGAATCTCCCATTCCTTCACATCCCAAAGGTGCTCTATTGTATTGAGACCTGGTGACTGTGGAGGTCATTTGAGTACAGTGAACTCATTGTCAGGTTCAAGAAATCAGTCAGAGATGATTTGGGCATTTTATGTCATGGTGCATTTTCCTGCTGGAATTAGCCATCAGAAGATGGGTACACTTTAGACATAAAGAGATGGACATGGTCAGCAACAATACTCAGGTGGGCTGTGGCGTTGACACAATGCTCTGTTGGTACTAATGGGCCCAAAATGAGTCCAATTTTGGTGAACCTGTGCGAACTGTAGCCTCAGTTTCCTGTTCTTAGTAGACAGGAGTTGCACCTGTTGTGGTATTCTGCTGTTGTAGCCCATTTGTCTTAAAGTGGGATGTGTTTTGCATTTAGAGATGCTCTTCTGCATCTTCGGTTGCCATGACTGCTTATTTGAGTAACTGTTGCCTTTCTATCAGCGTGAACCAGTCTGGTAATTTTTCTCTGATCTTTGGCATCAACAAGGCATTTGCAGCCACAGAACTGCCGCTCACTGGATATTTTCTTTTTTTCTGACCATTCTCTGTAAACCCTTGAGATGGTTGTGTGTGAAATTCCCAGTAGATCAGCAGTTTTTGAAGCACTCAGACCAGTTCGTCTGGCACCAACAACCATGGTACGTTCAAAGTCAATTAATTCACCTTTCTTCCACATTATAATGCTCAGTTTGAGCCGCGTCTTGACCTTGTCTACATGCTTAAAGGCATTGAGTTGCTGCCATGTAATTGGCTGATTAGAAATTTGCATTAATGAGCAGTTGGAAGGGTGTCTCTAATAAAGTGGCCAGTGAGTGTATATGCCTTCAGTGGTTTAATCAGAATATTATCAAGCAACAGGAATATATATATATATATATATATATATATATAATACAGTAGTGATGTGTAACCCCGGCAAAACATAATACTTTAATGGATGTCTTATATTGACACTGAAGAGAAGAAATTGTTGAATCAAGCAATTGAAGGCATATGGTCTATTTTGAGGATTTTTTAAAACCTTTCAAAAGAGCTCTCAGATTTCACCCAGAACATCTTTTTTATTCCAAAGATGAACAAAGGTCTTAGAGGTTTGGAATGACTTGAGGGTGAGTAACAACTAACCCTTTAAGAAAGCATCTGATTATAGAGATGGCATTTTTGGAATCTTCTGCAAATTCTCTGACATCAGGTTGATAAAATTACAGTGTTATTATAGTTTCATTATATTTGATGCTATATACTATCTAGATCTGGCTTTGTCTGTAATTTTTAATGCATAATTTACTTATATATTGTTTTAAATAGCTAAAATGCCAATAACGGTGGTTGTTAGATTGCTGGTGATCGTGACGCTGTTATTGGCATTTTAGCCATTCAAAACAATATATAAGTAAATTATACAATAAAAATACAGACAACGCCAGATCTAGATAGTATATAGAATAGAATATATTGTTTTAAATGGCTAAAATGCCAATAACAGTGTCACAATCACCAGCGATCTAACAACCAGAGATCGCTGGTAAACACTCACATTTACATGAACTACAAATCCCAGTCATGCAACACACACTCACCTGCTCCAAGTCACCATTGATTAAACACTCACACAGCTGAAACTGCTCAGACTGATTACTTTGGCTATAAGAACAGCACAATCATGCACAATGTGGCTGAGTCTTGTTATTTGTTTAGTAACATTACAATACGTTTTGCTTGCCTTCCATGTTTTGAACATTTGCTTTGTTTTGTTTGATCATTCCTGTATACTGCCTGCCTTCTGAATATTTGCCTGTGTATCTGACTACGACTCTGGGTTGCCCTCATACATCTGTTTGCTCCTGTGTTGACCATTGCTTGCCTGAACATCCTGTTAGTAAAACCCTGCAATTGGATCCTCACCCTTGTTGTCAGCGTCACTTCCTTGTTACAAAAAGTCATTTTGTTAATCTTTAGAGTTAAAGTTTCAACATACGTGTTAAAGCAGAGATCAAGGTCCAATTATGTTATTAAAAAGTGTGAATAAACGGAAACAGGAAACTATCAATTAACTTTTTTTTTTTTTTTTACAGTGTAACCCCCTTGAATTAAAATTTTAAACATAACAAACATTTTTGATATATTATACCAACATATACCGAGAGTACATTTTAACAATGATGGTAACAGGATTAAAGAAAGCCAGTTTCATTAATATAGTAATTTATTTGAACCCTTTACCCCTGCACTTAATGTCATCATCTTGTTATTTATGGGTGAAAACCATGCCAAATGTATCATGAGCAAACATGAAAACTGGTGTCATTGCATTCACTTGTATGTCAATGACAGCGATATGAAATGAAAGCGATATCTAGGGTTTTAGGGTAATCAGCGAAGCCAGTCTATTCTTTTCATTTCCTATAAGATGATGCTGAAAATTCATAAAATAAATAACTTTTTATATCAGATGTGATAGACACTGTCTCTGTTCGCAATTATGAAATATGAATATGAAAACTGATTTACATTATTTAACGATGCAGGTTTTACAGACTACAGAAGTTTGTTACACATCACCTCCAAACTAGGTGTTAAAGTGACAAGAAAATGGATGACAGGATCAGGAAAGGCCGGAATTAAACCTCAGTGCCCATGAACTACCTACTGTGCCAACACTTCAGTGCTTAGATAATCATTCCCATACCTTCATGTGTGCCCCTTGCACACGTTTGAAGTTGTTTCTACACCTCTGAGTGAGTTTTTCTTCACTTTTCGTGAATCTGGAAAGGTCAGCTATTAATGCCGCATGTGTATTTAAGGTCGCATTAACCCCTCATACTTTCTCTCCCGGTCTGGAAACTCCTCTCCACTTCTGTTGCAAACACTGTGCTATGCTTTATTGCATGTGACTCCGTGTTTCCAGTGCCATGCACTGCTTTCTGTATATGCTAAATTAACCTTCCCCCTCTCTCTCTCTCTAACTCTGTCTGTCTCTCTTGAAGGGTTAGTGCTAATGTTCTGCAAGTTCCTTATAACTGTTACTATGCAACACGTACAGGCCTTACTCTGCAACACCTTACTCTTTTTATTCCTTCTCTCACTCTTTCCTTTACCCTGGAGAGAAAGAAGGGGGAGCGTCAAAGAGGCAAAAGAGTGGAAATAACAGACTGCTGTCTCAGGACAAGTTTGAATTTGTGTATATGGTAAATACATGCAATGGAGCTTCCCTTTACATTATGCAAATAGTGTGTTTATTCCTAATATAACGGGGCTGAGAGAAAGACACACCGGGAAAGTTATGAAACTCAGATTGGCCGATATAAAAAGAAACAAAGGGCTTTTTAAACTTTTGTAGGGAGAGAGGGGAAGAGATCTGAAGATGAAAAGATAAAGAGATGGACGATTTGATTGGCATAGATCTCGTAGCGGGATGGAGCAGAGGAAGAGAGATAGCAGGAGAGATAGGCAGACCTAGAGAAAATGATATTGCCAGAGGATGAAAAAAATAAAAACAACAGAAATGTCTTTTTTTTCTTTCAAAAACTCGCAAAAGGAGACGCCGAGGGGCGGGAAGCGCGCTCTGAGGAGAGAGAGAGTGTGTGTGTCTGTTTGTGCATGTGTGTGTGAGAGTGTTTTTATGAATGAACTGATGACTCAGAATGTGTCATACCCCCGTCTTTATAAAGGAAGTTTTAAACAAGCCTAAACATTTCACTTCGCGAAAAATTAGACTCGCATCCTTCTCTCTCTCTCTCTCTGTCTCTCCCTCTATACACCTCTCTGACCCTCGCCGTGTGTATATTTCCATCCTCATTCGCGTTTGTTAAAACTAAACGGCTATTGGGACTGGACAGAGTCGAGTTTTTGGTCCTTTTTTTCTTGTTCTCGCTAATTCTGCACTTCTGCCATTCATTCATTCATTTCACCTCACGCTCTGCCTCTGTTAAACTACTGTCGCGAGCCGTTCGCGCGGATACTGAGAGAGGGAGACCAACTCTGGAGCACGTGACAACATCTGGACGTTCATTTATTTATTAATTTGTACACTTTTGTTTATTTAAATATTTATTCTTCTGCGTATTTATTTGCGACGTGTCTACCTTTTAAAACAAGGACTTGGACAAATATGAAATGTAAGTGTCTAATTTAATATATAGTAGCTCTGTTATATTTGTTTACATTTAGTCATTATTTCCATTGTTGACACTTGTTGCTTTAAAGCATCTAAGCATTTGTAATTAGAGCACTCGCCTCTGAAAAGACAGGTTTTTAAAAACGCATGTTAGTGTTCAGTTCTTAAAAGAGCTATTTTTTTTTTACTTAAATAACTTTCATTTTAATTAAAATGACCTTTTTTACTGTTTAAAAAAAAGCATGTGTAATAAAAAGGTTTGATGAATGTTAAAGGTTCTTTATGGACCCCTCATTAGCAATAATAAACCTTTGTTTTTTAAGAGTTACTAGTAATCATCCCCCTACAGACTTCTTGAACTGACAAGCCTTTAATGTTAATAATAAACATGGGACTTTTTGATTGAAACCTGGTCAGGTTGTAAGTGTTAATGGATAAAGTTAGTTTGACAGGATAATGGCTTGAGGCTCTTGTGGTTAGTTCATTAGAGAGGCATTTATCATGTCGACAGTAATAATGGATCAAGTGTTACTCGCTCAGGGCACACAGCAGCCTGCTGGTGAGTTGCTTCCTAAAGTGAGATGCAATTGAGATGGAAAACTGAGTGATTTCCTTCTCCTCAAAAGATAAAAGAAGCATCCTCTGGCTGAGATTATTGATTTTGGACATGTGGAAACACAGTCCAGGGGTGACATTGGCTATTTGACAGACATGCTGTTGTGTGTGACTGTGCATCAATGATTTGCTCTCCTCCACAGTGCTGGGTGACTCCTCCTCATCGCTGCTTCTCTCGCTGCTGCTGGCTCAACTACATTTGTTAGCATCTGCCTTCCCTGTCCATCACCGGCGGAACCAGATCGACTTCGACAAGCTGAGCAATCAGACCAAACTCCTTCTGACGCTGACTCGGAATCTATTGGTGAGTTGATCTGCTTGGTGAGGAAGTTCACACTGTACTCAGAGATGTTGATGATGATCTGATCTTGATGGCCAGCCACTGAACAGCTGGGCTAAAGTAATGCTCCTTGCAAAGATTTGTGGACAGGAATTGGCTTATCTTTCTCGCTTTCGCTCACACACAAACATGCGCGCACACACCCACTGATCGGCATTTCATTCAGCTGGCTCATATTAGAGCTGAGATAGCAGATTGCGGTAGCTTTGAGTCCATGTGGGAGCAGATAAGGCTCATTACTGTAGCCTCTATCTGACTAAAAAAAATAGATCCCTGGATTCAGGCCCAGCAGCAGGGCTGACATCCCAAACTTCATCAAAGCTTGCAATGTAACATTCATAAACGTTCAACCTAATGAGCCTGAACCTACGGGATGGGGGTAAACACGATTTGTGTGGCTCAGAATGAGCCTTGTGCTCACATCCAGCACTCAACCCATCCCAAAGTGAAATGCTGTGGGCTTCAGTTGGGTTTTTGTGGTCGCATGTGATGTAGATCCCTACTTTGAGGGTCTTGAACCCACAATGCCCCCCTCACCTCTCCGAGGCCTCCATTGGAAACATAAACAGATCCTTGTTCCCATGGTTACTTGGAGGTCCTGTTTACCAGCATAAGAGAAGCACGTGGCACAGAAAGGTGAAAAGTACAGTGCTGCCTTCTGTGTCGTTCCACTGTAAATGAAAATGTTAACAGATGTACTGCTGCAGTATGCAGAGGTGCGATCAGTTGTTGGGAGTATGCTTGGTGTTATAGTTCAGCTAAACATTAATGTTCATGTTGTGGCAAAACTGTATAACTTCAGATTAAGATGAAATGGAAAAAAATGGAAAAACATATCCTTGGAAATGTTGTTGTAAAAAAAATGGAAGAAATTAGGTCATACAGTATTGGAATGACATGAGGATGAGTAAATAATGACAGAATTTGCATTGTCAGGTTTTCATTTCTACCTCTCTAAAATGTCACTTGACCCTCCGTAGTCTTTGATTCCAATGTATGTGGAAATCCTGTGCTCAAGGTTGAGCTAATTTGAATGATTACTCATCTCCTTCAAGCAGACAATCACCTGTCTTGAGCTAATCTATCACGTACTCAAGATCAGAGGCCACCTCTCCAAGTCCTTGCTTCAATTAAAAGCAATAATGCTTGGTTGCAAGTGTGTGTGTTTTGTATATAAGCGTGTTTTGCGTCTGCCGCCTTGTGTGTGTGCACCAGATGTTCCAGCGGAGAACTCTATCAAAGACCCCACTGGTGACAAAAGGGCCCGACACACTTTGAAAAACATTTTGTTAGTTTTTCAATGACATGAAGCATTTATTTTGGTTTCTTTTCTTCTTGCATGGAGTTCCACTTTACAGGGGTCAAGGCTAGGAAAGAAAAATAGAATGGGAGTCGACGGAAAGTCCCCACAAGAAAGCTATAAAACTCTAGTGTGTGCGTCTACGTACAGAATGTGTTACTGTTACTTGTGTGAGGTGGTGAGAGTGTGTATACATGCGATGTTTGTATGACCGTGTGTGCGTGCCGGTGAGAGTGTGCATGTTGTAAATAGTTGTGGTCTGTGTAGGTGTGGGGCTGCTTGTTTAGCTTTCGGTCTCCACAGCAAAGTGTCCTGATAAAAATCACTCCGATTTATCACATTCCCGTATTTGCATTCAGGAAGACAGGAGAAGGGAGGGCACAAGAATCAGTCGAGTGAGGTCATGATCCAAAATGTGAGGGTGGGGCGGTGGGGTAGGACAGGACAAGCAGCCAAGGAGATAAAGAGATCAGAGAGTGCTCTGGATGAGAGACGCTTAACAAGGTGTGTGTGTGTGATGACAGTCCCAATAAGATGAAAACTGATGTTGCGAACTGTGTCATCACTGACTGGTGCTAAATTTAAACATTTAATTCGGCATCTTTCATCAACAACTTAAAAATATACATGAATTGCTTCTATAGCAGATTTCCTTCAGTGTTTAAAGAAAAGAGAAAATGGAGGGAAGCACAGCTGAGGATCACAAAAACAACAACAATTCGAGGAAAAAACACATCCTTCCAAACAGGGCTAGAGTGGCAGCGGAAAGCTGGCTTGAGCACGCTATTATTTTTGACATCTGATTGGTCGAAGAAGTTGTTTTCCTCTCCTGAAGGGACTTCAAAGATACAAAAAGCACATTACACCTGTCACTGTATCATTAGTTCACAAACAGCCCTTTGGATGACTTGTAAACACTCTCTGCTCCATTCTTGTGGTGGCCACATTAGGAACCACGGATATTGTAACACACTGTCTAAACACCAACGAGAGCAAGTTTGGGTCACTCTTAACCAGGCCTGTGGCTAGAGGGTGATGATTCTGGGGTCCAATCTTGCTCCTGGAGGGATAAGATCTTGCAGAGTGTACTTACCTATATGCTTGTTGTAAGTCTGAAGACCTTGATTAGTGTGTTTAATTAGGCTTTGAGCTAAACTCTGCACAGCAGTGGCCCTACGGAAACAGATTTGGACAGCCAGCTTAGAAACACCTGAGATTGTTTATGTCTCCCTCTAGTGCCAGGTGAGGACAATGCAGCCAGGCACGGACCAGCCCATACGTCATGGCACCTTTTTTAGCCCTGACCCTGGAGTTTCCCTGCAGCCCAGTGTTGTCTATTCCACTTCAAACTCCTTAGTCATTGCATATGTTGTTATTCTTCCTCTAGAAAACATCCTGTGGCTTCAGGTCACGAACTTATATTGTCTAGGTTCAGAAGTTAAAGCTCGGGAAACTCTGGGTGACCGCTGTTCCCTGTAATTCTGTGGTGGTTCTGCTGGTGGATGCCAGCAGTTTCATTTGTGGGACAACTGTGACTGTGTTTTGATTGTTGAGTTCAATGTTGGGGATCTAGAACTTAGGTGTGACCAGAGGAAAGGGCCATGACGTTTCCATCCAGAATGTGTGCAGAGCGCAATTGAGATTGTTTTTATTGACGTCTATTCTCTTTTCTCCTTTCTCTGCAGAAAGACCGGGTGTTTAGTACAGAGATTAATCATCACCGGTTCAAGTCTCTTCCAGCAATCAGCAGCAGAGCCAGTGACTTCGCAACTCTAGAGGTGTGTATGAGGATAAATTGTCTCCCTTGGTCAATTAGCATTTGCAGGACCCCCTTAAACATGGGTCTTGCTGCAATCAGACCCTTAGCATCACCCTAAACCTTAATTTATTTTTTACACAAAACCTAGCCTATGTATTCTCAACTAAAAGCCTATCAAAGTATCAAAATTTGCCCCCCTGGGCAGTGTATTTTCCCCTAAAAATTGTATATTTTGGCAACAGAATAAAGAAACTCGAACAGGTTTTGAACAAGCGAAGGATGAGTTAATGATGACTTTCAAGAGTTCACACTTAGATATTGCTTGATGCTATTAGAAGGTTTTGCCTGCTGTCCCATGAGAGAACTCTGAGCTTGGAGATAATTGAGCTCAGGGCTCACACCAGGTCTTTTAGCACATAAGGGGGTCTGAGATCAGGTACGTCTCGAGAGCTCCCCCTAGTAGAGAAGAAAAAGGAGGAGATGGGGTGTAAGGGGTGATTCCTCAAAAATGAAGAAATGGCAGTAGGCTGAAACTGGTCTATTTATAGTAGGCATGGATCAATCTGATATGATAATTACTGATTACAGATGAGATACCAGCTGTGGTCAAACATATCGCAAGCTTCTCTTGAAATTAAGCTGCGGTCACACTTGACTCCCCCGCCCCCAGACTTTTATTCATACGCACGCGAATGCATTAAGTTACGCAGTTCACTGCTACGCAAAGTTCAAGCTTGCGTGAGACCAATTGAGGATCAAAACATGACCTATGTGGACAGAAATTTAAAACATGGAGCAATTGCTCGATTTTTAAATGTCTAATCATCTTGTTTAATCCAGCCCCTTTTCGCAGCGCCGTACAACAGAATTTTGCACACACAAACTCTAGTGTGACCACAGCTTTAATTTAAAAACTTTACTTAAGACAGGGGTACCCAAACTCTGTCCTGGAGGGACATTGCCCTGCAGATTTTAGCTCCAATTTACCTTAACACGCCTGCATGGATTTTTTTTTTGAATTTCTAGTAAGAGCTTGATTAGCTAGCCTAGGTGTGTCTGATTGGGGTTGGAACTAAACTTTGCAGGACTCTGGCCCTCCAGGACTGAGTTAGGTCACTCCTGATTTATGGGCTGCTCTTTACAACCCAATCTCAAGAGAAACATAACTGCTTTATAATTGGGCAAATAAAGACATGAATTCGTACAATATAATTTATATGAAAATGTTTCATTTTTAGAAAAGGCTGACAAGGAAGGCCCAAGTCACTGGGCAAGAGCAGATTGGACAATAATGACCAATGAGATTATTTAAATTCATCACAAATTAGTCACTAATTCACCAACGCAAAAAATAAAAAAATAAAAATACTGGTGGTTGATTCTTTTTGGCCTTTATCTCTACATATGTCAATTTTATCTGTACATCAGCTTATAGAATGGATGTCCTTGTCTCCAGAATTCTCTTGCTAATGGTATTTTTTCTCTCATCGCAGGTCAAGCCTACTCTTTCTCAGCTCCATGCAAACCTCAAGTCCTTCCAGCACCATTTTGAGTGGCTGAACAACATAACACACAAGCAGCAGCACAGCATACCAAAGCTGACAGACATGGTCTCCCACATCGGGGGACTCGTAAACTCTTTACAGCGCCAGGTAACACTAGTCTCTCAGCAAACCATATGCACAAATGTCACAAAATTAGCATGCATTGTGATATACAGTTGCAATCAGACTTATTAGCCCCCCTGTTTATTTTTTCCCCCAATTTCTGTTTAACGGAGAGAAGATTTTTTTCAACACATTTCTAAACAGAAGTTTTAATAACTCATTTCTAATAACTGATTTTTTTTATCTTTGTCATGATGACAGTAAATAATATTTTACTAGATATTTTTCAAGACACTTCTATATAGCTTAAAGTGACATTTAAAAGCTTAACTCGGTTAATTAGGATAACTAGGATGGTTAGGGTGATCAGGCAAGTTATTGTATAACGATTATTTGTTCCTAGACTATCGAAAAAAATTGCTTAAAGGGGCTAATAATAATGCCTTTTTTAATTTTTTTTATTTAAAACTGCTTTTATTCTAGCTGAAGTAAAACAAATAGACATAGTGTGAAAATGCCCTTGCTCTGTTAAATATAATTTGGGAAATATTTAAAACAGAACAAAAAATTCAAAGGGGGGCTAATAATTACAGACTTCAACTGTACAATAATATAACATTACTATTATCATTAATCTGTGCCCAGAGCATTAATCATTAGTTGTTGTCTTTCTTTACATTTCAGATGAACCACATAGGGGCTCCCCGACTCACAGTTCCCTCCCCCTCACTCCCACCCATTCCCGCCTTTCACTGGGAGATGGTTCAGACCTCTCAGGAGCTCCTGGAACAGTTCTCGCTCTTCTGTGACTGGGCCGCTCGAGTGTTGGGCAGGACGCGGTCTTTATTAACCTCTAGAGAAGCACCGGTCGTAGGAAGCACCGGGACATCTCCCAGTGGGCCGATTCGAATTGTGGGGAAATAGCTTCCATATATTGAAGATGAGTTGTATCGTCAGTCCGGCCCATTCCAGTGAAAGGCGGCTAGTCGAACATTTCAATTTGTTCACTTCTACCCATTCACAGCAATCAGTCTCACCACTGTTGTTTGTGTCAAAGATGTAAATATTCCAAAACAGCCTACCTTGCTTGATGTGTTTGTGGGGGATTATCTGTGGTGGGTTGTGATGGGCATCCCAGGCTGATTTAAATTTTTAGTCAGAGTTTGAAGCCTGATCAGTGAAGGAGTCTGATCTGAAAACGACCATGCACTCCAGTCGACATCCTGCTTCTGACGCTCTTTTTAACTTTCTTTTTTTTTTTTACTATTAATTTTTTCAGAACTATTTGTTATTTATGTATTTATTTATTTATTGACTAGTTATTTATTTGATGATATTATTTATTTGAGTTCTCGATACACGTCAACACTCTTTTCATTAGCAAGAAGTAAAATGTACTCTCTTTATTATTTTCCTTAATCCATTTGCTTCTTTTGTACCACGCACACACACAAAACACATGTATGACAGCTTCATTTCGTGCCATTTATTCAACTGATTGTATTTGATACCGTTTATTTCCTCCTCACTGTTGCCTAGGTTGTCATACTTTGCCACTAGATGTAGCAATATTGTGGGAGTGTAATGTATGCCAGTGCTGAATGAGCGAGGACTAGCACTGACCTTTTGCTTGTCTTTCTTTTAAGTTGTTGTCTGTAGTTTTTGCACAGCATATTAGGGTTTATATTGTTTTACTTATTAGTTCTGTGATTCAGGAACATACTTTAATAAACCTTATTTCAAGCAACAACCTAAAAGACAACCTACGCCTTAAAATACTATGTATTGTGATACTTTGGTACTGTAAAGTTGTACATAGATGTTCCCGAATGTAAACTGGTATATACAATGCGTGTGTGTATACATATAATATTGTTTTCTGTAAGACAAAGTCCAGCGCTTTATCGATGTGTTGCAATATAAACTTTTTTTTTCTTTCCCTCCCACTTTTTAGGATTTTGATACAGTATTTACTATTTATTTATAATATTATTATGGTTATTATTAATATAATAATTGTTATTATGTTCAAATTATTTATTTTTCGCTATTCAGAAGCAAGACTTCTGTCATGGTTTGTACTTTTATACTACTCAACATCAATCATCATCTCTGTTTTGGTATGTGTCGACATCAATTTGAAATTTGCCTTATGTATGTGCACTAAATATGCAAAAACTAGTTCAACTGTGTGCCTTGCGAGAGAAATAAAGTATTTTTATTGCTCATTTTTTGTCATTTGTTTGTTATTGTCTATTATCTTCATGGAAATTAAGCCTGCAGGGTTATGAATGCTCACATTTTTTAAAAAACATATTTACTCTTAAAGTGTTGTACGATACCTTTTTTCTGAGTAGGTCTTTGCACCTATGGTCTGCACATTTTCTTCGGTTAACAAGCGCACACTTACCAAACTATGACGTATGGGCTAAACTACATTACCCAGAAATCCTTGCGCAGAGCAAACCCATCACACAACATGTGATTTCTTTGTCTACAATCAATAATTGATACTTAATTAAAACGCGATATTTAAATAATAACCTAATTCATTTATTACATGTGGTTTTAAAACAAACAACGAACAATCTAGGCATATTTTAATATAAAGTTCGTCACAGTGTTTTTTTGACCAATGAGACGAGCCAGCAGGGGACGAGAACAAACCAATAGTCGACGACTTTACTGAGAGGCGGTCACAAGCTGGCGACTGCTGGTTAGTTTGTGCTCTAGAATATTGTTAAGGTTGTGTGGACTATCACTGCGGATTTCGGCCTTATATAATTACATTAAACACAGCTATTGCTCAGCATTGGACCAAGGGAATAATAAATGCACAGAATAATGCACGTATTGCGACAAATATCGCGACGCGTGAGGAACGGAGAAGAGGATGAGATGGTTTCGAGTAGGCCGGCTCGAGATGGCACTATTAATTCAGCAAACAGTCGATAAAACCATCCACCGTTGATCTGTGGAGAAACTAAGTGGTGAGTAGGCTTTGGCCACTTGGAGCCTTTTTTCTTCGTTATGTGTTTATGTTTTTTTTTCTCATTTCGCTAAGCAAGAACGCAGGAACACGGAGAGAGAGGGTGAGGGAGGGAGAGTGAAGCAGAGGAGGAGGAGGAGGATATTTAAAGGGGAAGGTGGGTCAGTGTTTACTACTCGGATATAAAAAAATGATTAGAAATAATTAATAATTACATCACAAATGTATTAATATCATACAGGTTAAGTTAAATATTTAAAAACATAAATATTTTATGTTGTTGTGATACTTAAAATAATTGTATTATGTCATTAAATGATCTAAATATACACATTAGTGTATGTGGGTGTGTATATTAAACTATTGCGACACTAAATTATATTTTAGAGGCTTCTGTAAATTGTAGCTTAAGCGTTTGATTTATTATTCATTAATTCATTTTCTTTTGGCTTAGTCCCTTTATTAATCTGGGGTTGCCACAGTGGAATGAACCACCGACTTATCCAGCAAATGTTTTACGCAGCGGATGCCCTTTTAGTCAAGTGGTGCTCGGTGCAGAGCCATTTGAGGAGAGCTGAGCTCCACCGAGGGGGAGCTTAAGCTTGAGCTCCACCTTTTTTGCACTTCTTCTACGAGTGATGTCACTGGGGGTAGGGTTAGGGGTGGGGTTGGTTCAATTGCAACCCAGCACTGGGAAACACCCATACACACTTGCACTTGCATGCACACTCTGCCTATTTATACCATGGCTAATTTAGTTTATTCAATGGGCTTAATGCACAGCTAGTGTTTTTAAGCGACTATGTTTATGTGACTGTTTTCAGTTTCATATGGTTCCTTTTACAGCATCGATGTTGTAACGCAATTACAATACAAACAGTTTAATAGTCTTAAGCATTATTTGGTTTTTAAAGCCTGAAAAGAGTCCAAAAAATTATTTAAAAGCAGGTACCATCATTAGCAGCAGGCTAACACAGAAACTCCATTGAAAATACTGGGGTAAAATTAATTGAATGCTGTGCTTTTTGTTTGGTCTGATACCAACTTTATATCGTATCTCAGCCAAGCAGTGAAGATCGCTGTTTTTTAATGAAATCATATTTTAAACACGGCGATTTTATATGGGATGACAATTAACTGAAAACCCTGCTGCTGGCTGATTAAAATGAAAACTCTGTGTTCATATACCCCATTCACCTATAGCGTATGTTTTTGGACTATGGGTGAAACAATCACCCGGAGGAAACCCACGCGAACATGGGAAAAACATGCAGACTCCACACAGAAGTGCCAACTGACCCACCCGGGACTCAAACCAGCAACTGTCATGCTGCAAGGCGACAGTGTTAGCAACTGAGCCACCGAGTTGCCTCATTATTATTATTTTGCTTAGAAATTATAAATAAATCTGACATATTCCAATGTCTTAAATTTCTGTTCAAAGCAGTTTGCTGGATCACTGTTACACATTTAGATTAGATTGTTTGACATTATCAGATATATATATATATATATATATATATTTTTAGTAGTTTTTTGTTTTTCAAAACCATTAATGTTGTTTGTTTTATTACCAATGTAATATTCCAATTTTATTGTGTTTCATTTCTGAATATTTTTTCCACTTACAAGATTATAGCATAATCCAACAATGCTCAGTATTTTCAATACTGGTGTAGAAGGATAAAGCACACAATTCAATTATTCTTTATTTCTATAGCACTTTTACAATGTAGATTTGTTAAAGCAGCTTAACATAGAAGTTCTAGTAAACTGAAACTGTATCAGTCCAGTTTTCAGGGTTTTCAAGTTCAGTTCGGTGCTGTTAAAATTTTACTGCTGCTAATTCAAACACTAAAGAGCAAATCCACCTATGCGCAGCTCCACAAGTCCCAAACCAAGCAAGCCAGTGGCAAGGACTTCACCAATTGATGAAAGTGAAAGAAAAAAAAAAACAGGCTAGAAGCATATCATGTTCCATACCTCTGGATAACTCCAGTCCAAAGCTGGTGGAAAGCTTCAGTTTCAAGAGTATCAAATTAGAATCTCTGAAGACACCATTTTTCTTATAAGCTCATGCTAGCCAAAGTTTGCATTGTTATTACTTTATTTTCATTATAGTGTCAGGTATTAGCTTGTAAAGTTCTCGAAATACTGACATTACTTACAATTGACTTATTCCAAACCACTTTGATTTTGTTTTTGTAATGTTGATCACAAAAGAAGATATTTTGAAGAATGTTGGAATCCATTTCCCTACGTAATGTTTGTATTATGGATTCTATGGATGTCAAATGTTAGAGGAAATGTAATGTATTAGATCAGTGGTGTCCAAACTTTTTTTGCATGAAGGGCTAAAAACAAATATCAAGAGCCGTGTGCTGAAGGTAAATGTATCAAACTATTTTGCATTAAAGTTGCCATGGCTAATTTCCTAATTTATTTCATATTATTTCAAAATAAAAATTAAAAATGTGACATTAAATGGTATTGTCTTATGCAGTAAATGATACCTTGTAGTAAAAAAAAACATAAACGATCACATTTATAACACAGTGGAGTTTAATGAATCTACTAGTCAAGCAGAATCTGTCTTTGACTTTGATTTGCTCACCAAAGTCTCTGCATTGTCAGGTAACGGTACATTTAAACAAAATCTGAATAAATAACACCTTTTAATTGAAACCTTTAATTCCAGTCAGCTTTTTACCAGTAAAAGAAATAAGGGATTAAATTTGAATTGAATATCTTGAAACCATCCCTATCATTCTCCCTCTCTTCTCAGATGGGATGGTGAGCCAAATCAAAGGTTATCATGGGGCAACTTTGGTCTGCAGGCCCTAGTTTAGGCATCTTTGTATTAGATAATGATATCTGTTTAGTTGACCAGGGCAAAATGCTTTTAATAAACATCAAAACATTTATTTTGTTATTGTTTTCATTGGTGCTTATATGGACAGTTGGATTTTAATATTTGTTTGACATATTTCCATTTTCCTCAACACCTGAAAATAGTTTTTAGTTGTATCACATTCACACCAATTAAAGGATATTATTTATATTTGCAAAGTGCATACACATAAATCATACACCTATTTCTATATTTCTGTTATTACAGCTCTATCAGCTAAAGAAAAGACGAGAGAAGACATTCTGCCTCAGAAAAGGTTTTCTGGCTGAAATGTGAGCAAAAACTCTACCAAACACAAGCCATGGCTGCTACTATTGGAACAAAACCGCAAGACGATTGAGAACTTTCACTACAGCCCAACTTTTTGTCACCAGCTGTGATGGCCAACACTGTTGCTACTCTGGTGGTCCAAACCGAACTCTTAACTTCTCAAACACCTTCCGCCCTTTCTCCTTTTCCTTCCCTACTTCCTTCTGTAGAGGATGGAGAGGAGGACGGAGGGAAAGGAGAAGAAGAGGGCAAAGAGACTGAAACAGTCGTGCTAACAGGTGACTTGGTGACATCATCAACGCCCCCTGTTACAACGGTGGCTCAAAACCCGGAGCATCCATTCCAGTGTCTGGACTGCGGGAAGAGTTTTAAGTGGTCATCCAGACTGGCACATCATCAGAGGAGCCATAACAACGAAAGGCCATATCGTTGTAACATTTGCCCTAAGGCCTTCAAGGGCTCCTCTGCCCTATTGTACCACCAGAGGTGAGAGGTCAACCGATTCAGCATGTTGGTTGATATGTCTGGTTAATTAATCAAAATTATATAATGTGTTGGTGGTGACGTGTGTTTTGTTATGTATGCTATTCCTACATAATATTGTTTGTATGTTATTTAAGGTCTCATTCTGGAGAGAAGCCCTACAAATGCGATGACTGTGGTAAAGCATTCAAACGCTCCTCTCTTCTACAGGTGAGCCTGTTTTTTGCAAAAAGGCTCACCATTAGTTTCTGTAATTCCTACAATTCATATACAATTCATAAAAGCACAACCTCAAAATAAAACGAGGGAATCAGTTCATTTGGATTTCCTGTTTGGTACAGTAGACATTTTCTGATGGCTAAAGATTGTATGCACCCCTGATTTATTCTTAATGTGCGCCCACACTGAAGTCGCGAGAGCGACAATGCTGTCTGCCTTCACAGCTCCGCTGGCAAGAGCGTTAAATTTCGCTACATTGATCTCGTATTTAAAGGAGCTGTTGCATCAAATCAGTTACATTCCCGCATGAAAACATGCTTTCCAGTGTGAAAATATTGCCTGCCTTTTAAGTTG